GCTGGTATGCATCGGTGGCTGGTATGAGGAATGGTATGAGGTATGCATCGGTGGCTTGTATGCAGGGCTGGTATGAGGAAGACCACGACAGGATGGTCGAAACGTCAGCAACACAGCCTTCGATGCGGCGTCACCCGGACAGCCCAGATCACCCACATGACACTGGCCGCGGAAGCCTACGACTTGAAGAGTTTCTATTGGCTGTGAGATATTCTGGTTTACTATTCGTTGGATGGGAGGATCGATTTCAAGGTATCGACTGTGTCCATGTCCCACATGGCGTTAGTTCTTCTATTGACTTCGCTTCAATTTCGATTCTCGATTTTGAGTTACCGTTCTGTGATTGGTTCATTTCTTACGTCTCACTTAAGTATAAGCACAGAAGCTTGGAGCTTGCAAGCTTTTAAGTTAACGTCTACGTGTTATGTTTATGCGAAAGTGTTGTGAATGAGCCCGCTTATGGACGTAGTTCTAACTTTTATGTTAACCCCATGCTTCTGTTTATGTTTGCATTGTGAAGGGGCCTTAACCCTTGTAGATTCACGACCGTGAAAGATAATATGGACGTTCCGTATATTGCGGTTTGGTCAAAATACAAATTAAAACTCTCAATCGTTCCAGTTTGCCGCCTTCACTGGGGTGAAACAATAATTGCCTTCAGGATTGCAACTACAAAACATGATTCGCTCTCACATTCATGTTAGGATAATCGTCGATTACACCTTTCTCTCAGCTGTATTTTGAGTGCCAAGCAACGATAATTTCGCTATTGGTAAGTTCCATAGTTTCCCAAATATATTACTTTCTGGTGATTCCTGGGACTTGCTCTTCACGATTTTCTTCTCGGAGACTCGTGAAATGCGCTCGTTTTCGGACAGCTGTGTGTTAAATACAGTATTCTATGTCGTGTATAAAAGCTTGGCATCGTGTCCCATAAAGCATTCGCTGCAAATAATGTCCTTTAAATGCCACGGGACATGAAACAAGATTTAAAGGAAATGCTTCTATATTCTAAAATACCTAAATAATTTTCAGTCGTTGTATTCCTCGCCTTCCCGCCTCTGAGGTAGTAACGTTAACTGAGTACGGTACACAGCTCGCACCGGTATAGTAAAGCTATAAAACTATTGGAATCTGGCTGTCATTACTGTTTGTACGCCAGCGCGAGGGGAGAGTGCGAGGGGAGAGTGCGAGGGGAGAGTGCGAGGGGAGAGTGCGAGGGGAAGACGTGCGCTGCGCAGGTGGCACTTAGTGGAGTCTCACGGCGCGCACAAGCACGGCCCGACCTGCAACGGGTGACGAACGAGCACGGCCAGGCGCAGTCTGTTGTGAGCCGAGAGAAAGCCCGACCGTATGTGACCTTACTTTTCCAGTCGGCGCCAGCTTTCGCCGGCGCCAGCGCCCGCGCCGTCGCCCTCGCCAGCCCCCCACGCGAAGCTGCGCAGAACCGCCAGCGTCAATTGCCGCGCAACGCCAGCGCCAACGCCAGCGCCAACGCCAGCGCCAACGCCAGCGCCAGCGCCCTCGGGTGCGTTTCCGGCGAGGACGTCCGCGTCGCAGCGCACGCATCATTCCACGCACCCGCCCACTTGCACCTCACGCTCACCCACTCCGCCCCCCTCGCCACCACGCCACGCGCCACTCCACAATCTCAACTTTCAGGCGATATTACGACGCTTCACCTCCCAAACGTAATTCGAAAAATGCTGTGCTGATCTCAATAATTTGCTTTTCTTTTACTTGCTAATAAAATCGTTCATCTTTCATTGATTACAAACCACAATGCGCAATATATTTACTCCCTCGCGTGGGTATGAAACTAAAAGTGATGAAAAGGTTATTATTTGGAAAATTATTAAATCGCGTCGTGAAAAAGTCGTAGAGAAAAATATGAAAATAAAACGTAAAGAAACAATTTAATTTACTATGGCAAGATAATTTTGTGTGTAAGATGACGCTCTTCATCGCAATCACAGGTCTTAAATATGATGGTAATCAAACGATTTAATTTTATTATCATTTATTTCGTTTTCTGAAATTTTATGTTCCCTCGCTCAAGTTTAGAAATTACCCCAATGTAGTGTCAAACATACAAGCCAAAATGTGATCAATGAAATTCTTTCTTCGTACATAAAAGTGATTGCTTCTTTGCGATAAATTTGCACAAGTAGGAAATGATAAAGGGACTTACTACTATATCTACCCGTTTTTTCTTTCTCCAATTTTGCTTCAATATTCACTTCTTTCAAATTTATTTACTATGATCAGATTAAATGTCCCATGCTGAAAAAAACCTTATTGGAGATCAAAAGAGAGTAAATTACAGTCCTACTACTATTCTCTCAAAATAAAAGTGAATACATGACGTTTCCAATTAACAAAAATGTATCATGATAGGGGAAACGTCACTCATTGATATACGTCACTTGTCATTAACTTTCTCTGTTGGCATTTCATTGACAAATATATTACTTGATTATAAACTGGTTGCACATTTCGTGTTATTTCGAGAAACATCAATCTACGTTACTCAGAGTCGTTGCGACACTCACTGCGCGGAAATTAAGTTTTTGGCTTCGCTTGCCGCCCAAGACATGGGGCATTGTCAAAATGTGAGTTTAGCTTTAAAAAGGCGAGAACAAACCACCAGGTATTATTATATATACGTAATATTACTGTACATTAGAATTGATTGAAGAACATGCGGCAGTAATACGGTAAACCACATTTTGACCAAAATCGAGATATTAATATTAAGAATAGTGGGGTTCTTTTTCAGCAGCGTATCGTGTAAGTTTCTTAAGAGGGAGAAATTGATAAATTGCTTCAAACGGAACATGCAACAAATTACATTACATGTGCAGACTTTCGATGAGATACGAGAGAAAGACAGGTTCGATTTTCCCCTGGCTTTCGCCTTTGCATGTAATAGTACCAGATGCTCTGTCCACGTCTACTCTGACACTGATCGGAGAACCGGGGTGTGACATTACTCATGGCACGTGATGCGTTCATATAGTTGAAAAAGAAGCCTGTAGGTGGCCGTTCAAAAGAGGAGATCCTGCTCTTCTATGGTACAGCTCCATTAAAAAATGTTCCCAGTTCTGATCTCATGAGTGCTGTGAGATACGGAAAACTAACACACGGGAGGAAGAAAGGCTAAGAGTCCATTCTGTTCTCAGAACGATTATGATCGTTTTCGCGTCGCTTAAAACCGCACGTAGTGCGAAACGCGATCAAAATTTTTTTTTGTGGCTATCAACTCAAAAATAAAACATAAAGAGCCACTGCCTTTTCTACAGCATCTGTCCAAAACCATGTTGATCCTTCATCGTACACCAACACCAAATAATGATCTCCGCTATTAGGCGGTAGAGTTCTCGTGATTTGTTTGCGAACAACGAAAGAAGCAAACAAATCACATAAAATTAGCGGAAACCAGAAGACGTAACTTGTGATGTGGATCGTTTGCACGATAACAGGGTAAACGTGATGTAAATGAAGTCAAATTTATGTAACGTGATGTAACGAAGAATTTAAGAACAGAAAAAGAGCATATAATTATTTATCATACCAACAAGAATTGTCTAATGTGAGAAACTTATATCTACAAATAATTGGTGGTTTGGAATTGTTTTTTCAATTTCGTGTGTTCTTTTGAGGCAAAATAAAACGAGTTTAATTTTGGATCTCTGAATAATTATGAAAACCCCAAAATGGAGAGAATTGTAGTTGTCCGAACACGTAAAGATCGGAAATAAAGCTCTATTCAACATCATAGAAATAACAGAAAACGAAGGAGGAATGAAGGAATAATATATCAGAGCAAGTGTGTGACAAATGTCAAAAAACTAAATATGGCAAACTATTTGCTTTCCTTACAGCAATAAAATTTAAGAGGGTGTAAATACCCTCAAGAATATCAATCACTCAAAAATATCTTTCCATTTTTCTTCTAGAAGCAAAAATTCTCTATTGTAATCACGAAAATCTGCATTTAATGACAGTTGCTAGTATTTGTACGAGTACAGTTACCACAAGACGGTCTTCCCAGAAGTACTTATTCTCATTGAAGAACAAATGAGAACTATTTAAATTATATTATGCTACTTTTGTGTTTCATATTGCCTATGATTTGCCAATATTACAATGGGTTAATTTATTTGATGTCAAAAAAGTTAAAAACTGGATATGGGGTATGCGAGAGAAGTGCATTCTTGGCTCGTTTTCTTCAGCTCTGGAATCCATACCCTGGCACTTATATATATTTTCTGACATCGCAGGCGCGAGCTACGCAGAAGTAGAACTTATTTAATGGTTATTAAATTATTCAAATAGTGAGTTAAGTTCTCACCTCATGGATTGTAAAACATTTGAAGAGATTTTATTCGTGTACAAAATATTAGTCTACAACATTCGTATCATTTTTTAAACCTCAAATATAATTGTACAAGGGAAGAGATAATTAATGACAAGCCATAAAAATATTTCTTGCACTTAAAACGTAAATAACAATTTAAAATTTAAAAAAATGTTTAATTTGATTTTTCGTTAAGCAAAGTACATAACTGAATAAAATGTAATGTTTTGAACTACATATGAATACAATTTATATTTACAGAAATTTTAAAAACGCAAATATGTTCATATCTCAATAAAAAAGGTTTGTGTGTTTCATCCTTGAACAAACCCTTCAGTAGACAATTGCACAGGAGTGGCGTAAGGACAAAGCCAAAAAACGAGCTGAAAGGCTGAACTCCGAATCAGTAGAGAAACATGAATAATATCTAATAATGTAATGCCTAGGGAGAGGATTTATATGCCCTAAAACATCTTGAAAGATGGTTTTAGAAATACACATTTATGAACTAAAAATTCTTAAATATGCAATATAATATGCTTATAAAATTAACACTATTTCATTTCCTGCCTGAACCTTGATAAATTTCAGAAAATGATTAAAGATATTTTTTGTGCAAACATGATATTATCTACCATACTTTTCTGGAGAAATAATTGAAACTTGCATTTCTTCTGCCTGGATTAAAAAAATATAATCGAGAAAAATCCTATATTTGCGAACAAATATAGTATGATCTACAGTTAAGAAAAAACGCAATAGCATAACGTCAATATAATTTCATCTTACAATTTCATTTTTTTACAATGTCAGTTCTGCATTTCAGTGTGTTACAAATACCATATGCATATTGTCAAACGTAAAAGCGATGCCAACAGCGTCTTAAACATTGAAAAGCATTTTTCTACATCCATTAATTTGCAGACGCATACTTGAAATAGCACAGATCGTTTGTTTCCAAACCATCTTCCTTGTTTTCGAGAAAAATATATATTTTAACAAAATATGAAAAATATGCGTCTACAATTATATGAATATGCATTAACAGAAATATCGGCCAAATAAGCAGTAACATATTAATCTACATAGCAGCTAATTTTAACAAAATTTCACTTAACTATACTCGGAAGCAATAGACAAAATATGCAAAATCATAGAATTCCACTCCATATGCCTAGCCGCAGAACTAATGAGCAATTGGTCATGATCAAATTTGCACAGAATCATCATGCAGAAAGATTTGTATTGTTCTGGAATGTGATATAAAGTTGATTGGTCTCGATCGTCAGCACCACATGTTTTGAAAAACATAAAATAAAATACGTAAAACTTACTTTTGTTTAAACGCAAAAGTGAGAAGTCTCTGTGAGAGTCTTGCATAATATATTTGAATGTTAAAGATTGTATATAAAAGGGTTTCTGTTAGTTATGATAGTACACAGAAGTGTGGTGTTCGGAGGGCACAAGTTTCATAATAATTCTTCGTTTCACAGGAACACAAACGCATAATGTACGTTTAAGTGGCTTCATTATTTTAAACATGTAGCCGACCTCTTGACTGTAAATCAACTGGAGAATTACTGAGACGGTAAAATTCATCTGTGTTTCCTTCTATTCTTATGCCCTTGATTAAAAACATCTGGATATGTTTTGACGATTTGCAACTCGATCTTCCCTCGACAGTCGCAGTTTCCTTCTAAATTACACAAACAATTAATGTTCTTGTTCAGAATTTCCTACAGAGATAAACTTTTGTGGGAGACAACAAGGCGCCCCAAACCTTGATATATTTATCATTGATAAATACTGACCTCGTCCACTCATGCTGCTTTTGAAACAAATTTGTAACATTTCAGTGCATTTCTTATTTGACCCTTACGACATAATTTCAGGTAAGTTTGATACGTTATATTATTGAAGTTGAAAGAATTATAAAAGAGAATTGTTAAATCGTGTCTATAATATGGAACACATCATAGACTGCTAGGTATTATTTTATAAATATATTTTAATTACTCATTAACGTTATGGTTACATATAAACCAAGTTGGCTGTTGGGGGTTCAATGTTGATTGCAACAGAAAGTCAATATAGAGGGGTGGATGTAACACAAAATTTTTTCTCGATTTATTTTTAAGTGTAGAGGCCTATCAAGGGTTATTCTAAGA